TATCTGAAGGAAATATATATTTGATGAACAAATTAAGCCAACTAATATGATTTATATTCTTTTGGTTTATCTACTAATACATTTAAAAATTACAAATGCAGTGAAAATTCAGGGATCGGTTACGGTATCGATATCGGCGAGTACCAAAAATGAAAGTATTGGTATCCGTCTCGTTCTGCAAAAAGTGGTATCGTGCATCCCTAATTGAAAATATTTAACGGGTTCGCGTGAGGGAGGAGCAAAGCAGTGCCATATTTGAAGCACATTTAGAGATGTGATTTAAATAAATTGCTGTTTTGGGATAGTAATTTCACTGCTTAAGTCTGTGTGTGTGAGAATGTGTGTTTGTGGGTAAGTGTGTGTGATGTGACACACTTTATTATTAATCTTTATTAAAGTTTATGGCTGTTAAGTGTCATTTGTTTTTAAGTGCCAAGGTTATTATTCACCTTATTAGGGCTAAGGGCTAACGTAATGGTTAGGATAACTCAAGGGCTAGGGTTAAAGCGGTCATATAATGCCATTTTTGTACAAGTTAATATGAATCTTTAGGGTCTAAATGAAAACTTTGTAATATACTTTTATCAAAAATTCTCATTAGTATTTTAAGAAAACACTCATTTTACCAGCTCAAAAATAGCTCTGTTTTCAGCACGCCGTTTCAGTGCACAATCACATCCCTTTAAATGATAATGAGCTTTGGTCACCCCGCCCCTCTGCGTACACAGTTTTTAATAACACAATAACCATAACGCGTTGTTCATTATAAACGTGGGATTATGAATTATATTGAGAACATTGTAACGTTACATAGAATATATGTCGTGTTGGTAGTAAAAAATATTGTGGAGGTAGTAAAAAAGGTAGTAAAAGGTAGTAAATTCATCTCTATGATTCCTGCATAAACCCTGAAGTAAAAAAGTCATTAAGTCATTACAGTTGTGCTGCTTGGAAACGTCTGGGGTTGAAGCTTTATTTTTTTGTTAATTTAGCCATTGTCAAGTCAAGTTTTATTTATAGAGCACAAGTTTAACCCAACCATAGTTGATCCAAAGTGGTTTACAATACAATAAAATAAATCAATAAAAATAAAGAGAAAAGGAGTAAAAAAAAGAAAAAAAAGAAATGGAAACAAAAATCAAGTATCACATTTATTCAATGTATCCATGTTAAATACCCTGAATAAACTGTTTCGAATAAATACCTAGGGTTTTGTTTATTTTCTTCTAATAGTGTTGAAAAATAAGCAGATCTAGCAGCTTTTAAAGCCTCTCTGTAAGCGATCGAGCTCTCCTTCCATGAAATGCGAAATACCTCTAGTTTAGTTTTCTTCCAGTTGCGCTCCATGTTTCTGGCTGCTCTCTTAAGGGCCTGTGTGTGTGTGTGTGTATGTGTGTGTGAGAGTGTGCTCGTTGTACCACGGCGTTGGACTGTTTTCTTTAATCTTCTTTAAGGGCAACGGAGCAACTGCGTCTAAAGTGCTGGAAAAGAGAGAGTTAAAAGTTTCTGTCGCATTATCGAGTTCTTCTAAGCTATCCGGGATGCTGAGATGATGAAACTGATCAGTTAGATTATTAATAAAGCAATCTTTAGTGGCAGAAGTGATAGATCTAACATATTTGTAACACGGAGTCGTTGTGCTGGGATTTATCTGACCTTGGTGACGTGAGACAGCTAGCAAACGGTCGGTTTAGCCAGTCTGTCTGCTTCCTGACCTGAGCCCCAGATTGTCATGTTTGAGCTCTAAAGCCCTATTCGCATGGGATAAGTATTACCTGGTGACCAATGATTAGATGGAGATGGATGACATGTATAGCAGCATGCGGTAAGGAACATTCTTCTGTTTATGATATATCATACAGCTAGACCTATAATAACGACAAGACATTTCCAAGCAATAGCCTATTGACATCATATCCGGGAGATAAGTGAGTAAAGTCGAGTAAAATCACAGGCTTCATTTATCATGTGCGAATGCGCCACACGAAATTCAGATGTTGGGGGGGTGATTTCAAATTCACACAAGGTCCCCAGATAATACTAATCCCGTGTGAATAGGGCTTAAGACTATGTGCCATATTACTAGAGAGAAGAGCAGCACCAGCCCAGGAGGGATGAATACCATCTCTTTTCAACAGGTCAGGTCTGCCCCAAAAACTTTTCCAATTGTCGATGAATTCTATATTGTTTTGCGGACACCACTTCGACAGCTAGCCATTGAGTAAGGACAGTCTACTAACTATCTCATCACTCCTGCGAACAGGAAGGGGGCCAGAGCAAATTACAGTGCCTGACATCATACTTGCGAGTTCACACACCTTTTTAATAGGGGGCGGCAGTGGCTCAGTGGTTCATGTAGGTTGTCTACAAACCGGAAGGTTGGTGGTTCAATCCCCGGTTCCACCTGACCAAGTGGAGGTGTCCATGAGCAAGACACCTAACCCCAGCTGCTCCCGACGAGCTGGATGGCGCCTTGCATGGCTGACACCGCCGTCGGTGTATGAATGGGTGAATGTGAGGCAAAATGTAAAGCGCTTTGGTGGCCATTAGGTCTGTGAAAGCGCTATATAAATGCAGTCCATTTGCCATTTACCATTTTAATGTCAATTTTAGTGATCTGTGTGAGAGAGAGTGTGTGTGTGAGTGTGTAAGAGGTAATGCTTGAATGTGAACAGCAACTATTGTGCCCCACACTCTCTCACACAGACACACACACACACACACACACACACACACACACACACACACACACACATGCAGCACTAGACACTCGTGGGTTTTTCCCTCTCCTTGAACACAATGTGTGTCTGTATCTGCTGTACGTTTCCTGTTCCTGCGGCTTCAGTCTGAATGTGTCCAGAGTCTCTCAGACACACTGACACACCACAGCAGCCGCGTCTCTGTCTGTGTGTGTGTGTGTGTGTGTGTGTCCGCGGCCGCAGGGTCAGTGCCGTCCTGTCGTCGCCGTCTCGTGGTCCGGCGGGCCGAGGGTGTTTGTCCGGTCGCTGTGACGCGCTGCTGTTCTCTGTGGCTTTGAGTCCTGATGAAGCGCTGCTGCTCTTGTTTTAATCTGTGCCGTTTGAGACGGATGGTTTTTATTACGCCAGTGTTTTGAGTCAGTAAACGCTCAGGCTGTTTTCCCACAGTGCACTGCGGTGAGGGGCGTTGACTGCGCTTCTCCGCCGGGACTCGTGTAGCATGCGAATGACTTCAGGGCTGCGGACCCCAGTATGGAGACCATTAGCACCAATCTGGACTGAATCTGGGTGGATATTCCACTTCCTGTCTGTTCCTGTGGGGGGGGGGGGGTCATCACAGTAGCTGCTGCCAAACCCTAACACACACACACACAGTTAATTGTCGCAGTAAACACGCTCGCACACAGATAATTCATAAATCTTGCTCGTCCTCATGCCTCTTTCACACACTTGCTGTTTGGACACAAAAACACACTCCTTCGGGCCGTGATGATGTCATGCGTCATGTGAACGAGCCCCTGGCGGCCCATCGCAATTATAGCCACACATCCATAATTTCCCGGTTGAGTTATGGCCGCTGGTGTGGATGGGTGTGAGAGTGACTTGCGTGTTTGCGCTGGTTTCCATGGTGATGTGAAGATCTGGTTCCTCCACATGATGCGTGCGTGTGTGTGTCAGTCGTTTGCAGCACATCTAATCTTGTTCAGGTCGTGTGTTTCAGCTCATGTCCGGCTGCGTTGGATGAGCGGGAACACGTGCGCGGCTGCTTTGATGCGCGCGAGCCGCTGTTTTGGCGTCTCCTGAAGGTCGCGCTGGAAAAGGGCTGTTGTGCAAATAAAGGGGTCGAGCCGCTGCTTCCTGATGAGTCACAGCGCAGAGATCTGAGGCATGATGTCATTTCCTCTCGCCAGCCTCTGGAGGAGGAAGAGCTGCTCAAATTGACTTCAGCCTTTGATTGGCAGTGTTTTCGTAAGGGAATCCGGCTTCAAACGGCCGGGAAGCGCAGGATCAGGCCTGACCGCGGTCACCGATCGCTTCGACCCGCACACTAATTTGTTTTACTTTACAGTTTGAGTAACACTTAGTGCAGTTCAGAGTGTCAGTGTGATCTCACTCTGACCCGATTCATGAACGCTCCATAGGAATGATAAACAAGAGTTCACACTGTCAACAGTTAAATCATAACACACACACATAACACACACACATAACACACACACATAACACACACACATAACACACACATAACACACATAACACACACATAACACACACATAACACACACACACACACACACATAACATACACACAAAAAAACACTCACACACACTCACTCACACACACACACACTCTCACACACACTCTCATGAGCAGAGAATGTGGTATTTTTGAGCTTGTTTTGAATATCAGGTTCTAATGAATTCAAATGTGTTGCATCAGTGTGGTCACTGAGTGTGTGTGAGTGTCAAGTCACCTTTATTACTTAAGTTCAGTGATGGTTCATTTTTGTTGTAAAAAAGTTATTAATTTAGTTCATTTATATATATATAGCCGCTCTGGAGAAAACCGTGATCTCATCGTCCAGCTCAGTTCAGTTCTCATATAATGCTGTCAATGCAGGAGATCAATAATATTGTTGGATATTAAAAACTAAGCAGCCAAAAGCCAAAGGCGACAGTGAAGGAACCGAAACTCCATCAGTGACAGAATGGAGAAACCCTCGTGAGAAACCAGACTCAGTCGCTCAGTTCTCCTCTGGCCAACGAGCCAACAGTGTGTGCTCATGAGTCAGGAGCATTACAGGTCAGAGGTCAGATTGGATCAGAACATTCAGAATATTATCCAGTTCCCTCTGGTTGAAGATCAGAGTCACTATGGAGACGAGTTTGTTGAGGATCAGTGCCGATGGCTGTCGTGTCGATGAGGCCTTACAGGGGAGAGTCTAGATGACACAATCTCTGCTGACACTTCAGGCCCAGATCTGGCTGACTACATCACACCTGCATTACTGTGTGTTTCAGCTGCTGCACATCTGCATGGAGGGCTGGGGAAACTGGCGCTGGGCCGAAGCCTTCAGTGTGGACGAGGTGGGGAACCTGCTGAGAACCATCCAACATAAAGGACAGACGGCCTCTCTCATCATCAGGGTCAAGCAGCTCAGCGGAGTCCAGAAACAGGTATACACACACACACACACACACACACACACACACACACACACAAAGACACGCACACACACACACACACACACACACACAATCACTCACACACACACACGCACACAAAGACATTCCCACTTATTAAATCAGTCAGTGTCATGTGACCCGGAGCGTCTCTCTCTCTCTCAATTCAATTCAATTCAGAAAGCTTTATTGGCATGACAAAAAAATACATTTTGTATTGCCAAAGCATCAAAACAACATAGAAAATGATTTAGAACATTTAGTACACAAAATAATAATACTGATAGCATAAAACCATAATAATAAAATAAACAAAGATTAATAAATAAAATATAAAGGATTTAGAAAACATCTCTGTACAAAACAAAAACAAGCAAAAAACAAACGAACACTGAACTTGGAATTGAACATATACATGTGTGTAGGTCTTAGGCTGTGAGTGAGTGTGTGTGTGTGTGTGTACTGTGTAGGTCTTAGGCTGTGAGTGTGTGTGTGTGTGTACTGTGTAGGTCTTAGGCTGTGAGTGTGTGTGTGTGTGTACTGTGTAGGTCTTAGGCTGTGAGTGTGTGTGTGTGTGTACTGTGTAGGTCTTAGGCTGTGAGTGTGTGTGTGTGTGTACTGTGTAGGTCTTAGGCTGTGAGTGTGTGTGTGTGTGTACTGTGTAGGTCTTAGGCTGTGAGTGTGTGTGTGTGTGTACTGTGTAGGTCTTAGGCTGTGAGTGTGTGTGTGTGTGTACTGTGTAGGTCTTAGGCTGTGAGTGTGTGTGTGTGTGTACTGTGTAGGTCTTAGGCTGTGAGTGTGTGTGTGTGTGTACTGTGTAGGTCTTAGGCTGTGAGTGTGTGTGTGTGTGTACTGTGTAGGTCTTAGGCTGTGAGTGTGTGTGTGTGTGTACTGTGTAGGTCTTAGGCTGTGAGTGTGTGTGTGTGTGTACTGTGTAGGTCTTAGGCTGTGAGTGTGTGTGTGTGTGTACTGTGTAGGTCTTAGGCTGTGAGTGTGTGTGTGTGTGTACTGTGTAGGTCTTAGGCTGTGAGTGTGTGTGTGTGTGTACTGTGTAGGTCTTAGGCTGTGAGTGTGTGTGTGTGTGTACTGTGTAGGTCTTAGGCTGTGAGTGTGTGTGTGTGTGTGTGTAGGTCTTAGGCTGTGAGTGTGTGTGTGTGTGTGTGTGTACTGTGTAGGTCTTAGGCTGTGAGTGTGTGTTTATTGGATGTTTGCTGGTCTCTGGTCGTCCCTCAGGATATGGCAGGATGCTACAAATTTTGCAGCTATATATGAGCATTTGGCTTCTTCGCCAAGAATGAAACGGAGTTTTTGGGTTGGGTTACAGGTGTTAAATTGGGGAAATATTTGGTTAATTTTGGGGTAATAGTGGTCTCTGATATGTTCATATTTTGGGCATTCTGTGAGGAAGTCTCTCTCTCTCTCTCTCTCTGTCAGGTGATCATCTGCGGCCGGCAGGTGATGTGCAGTTTCCTGCATCAGTCGATCGAGCTGCGGCTCGTGCAGTACCACAGGGGTCACGAGGGTCACGAGGGACAGGAGCGCGTCGCCTGTCTGGAGCCGCACTGCAAACCGGCCTCGTTCGTGCTGGAGGACGCGGAGCTGACGGAGGTGTGTGTGCGCGCGTGTGGAGACGACGCCTGGTCGGGGGACGTGTGTCTGGATCCCAGCGACACACACACCAGCTCTGTGGTGCAGGTGCGTCACGACCAATCACACACACCAGCTCTCGTCCAATCACACACACCAGCTCTGTGGTGCAGGTGCGTCACGACCAATCACACACACCAGCTCTCGTCCAATCACACACACCAGCTCTGTGGTGCAGGTGCGTCACGACCAATCACACACACCAGCTCTCGTCCAATCACACACACCAGCTCTCGTCCAATCACACACACCAGCTCTGTGGTGCAGGTGCGTCACGACCAATCACACACACCAGCTCTCGACCAATCACACACACCAGCTCTCGTCCAATCACACACACCAGCTCTGTGGTGCAGGTGCGTCACGACCAATCACACACACCAGCTTTGTCCAATCACACACACCAGCTCTGTGGTGCAGGTGCGTCACGACCAATCACACACACCAGCTCTCGACCAATCACACACACCAGCTCTGTGGTGCAGGCGTGTCACGACCAATCACACACACCAGCTCTCGTCCAATCACACACACCAGCTCTCGACCAATCACACACACCAGCTCTCGTCCAATCACACACACCAGCTCTGTGGTGCAGGCGTGTCACGTCCAATCACACACACCAGCTCTCGACCATTCACACACACCAGCTCTCGACCAATCACACACACCAGCTGTGTGGTGCCGGTGCGTCACGGCCAATCACACGCCTCAGTGGGAGCTTTGTTATAGACTACAGATCGTTTCAGAGCAGCTTCACAGTAATAAACAGGAGAATAACAGAAACTTCATCAAATATGAGACAAACTCATGTAAAAGCTGCTCTAGAAACACAAGTAATAGTCATAATAATGGATGATCCTCCCGTCCACTGATCATTAGTGGTCATTAGCCGGGCGGCAGTGGCTCAGTGGTTCATGTAGGTTGTCTACAAACCGGAAGGTTGGTGGTTCAATCCCCGGTTCCACCTGACCAAGTGGAGGTGTCCATGAGCAAGACCCCTAACCCCAGCTGTGTGTGTGTGAGACACCTAACCCCAGCTGTGTGTGTGTGTGTGTGTGTGTGTGAGACACCTAACCCCAGCTGTGTGTGTGTGTGTGTGTGTGTGTGTGTGTGTGTGTGTGTGTGTGTGTGTGTGTGTGTGAGACACCTAACCCCAGCTGTGTGTGTGTGTGTGTGTGTGAGACCCCTAACCCCAGCTGTGTGTGTGTGTGTGTGTGTGTGAGACACCTAACCCCAGCTGTGTGTGTGTGTGTGTGTGTGTGTGTGTGTGTGTGTGTGTGTGTGTGTGTGTGTGTGTGTGAGACCCCTAACCCCAGCTGTGTGTGTGTGTGTGAGACACCTAACCCCAGCTGTGTGTGTGTGTGTGTGTGTGTGTGTGTGTGTGTGTGTGTGTGAGACCCCTAACCCCAGCTGTGTGTGTGTGTGTGTGTGTGTGTGTGTGTGTGTGACACCTAACCCCAGCTGCTCCCGACGAGCTGGATGGCTTGCATGGCTGACACCGCCGTCGGTGAGTGAGTGAATGGGTGAATGTGAGGCAATATGTAAAGCGCTTTGGTGGCCATTGGGTCTGTGAAAGTCCATTTACCATTAGTGAAGCTGTTTAACAACGAGGTCGTCAGTGTTTTATAGTCGCTTGCATACACAATTTAAAAGCATCTAATGAGGTTTGATCATCTGAAACACACATTCATGAGCGTGTGTGTGTGGTGTTTCCTGCACGCTGATCATGCCTGAAGGGATTGTGCTGTGATTGTGTGTGTGTGTGTGTATGTTTCCTCCGCGCTGATCATGCCTGAAGGGATTGTGCTGAGTGTGTGTGTGTGTGTGTGTGTATGTTTCCTCCGCGCTGAAGGGATTGTGCTGTGAGTGTTTGTCCACCCCTGCACTTCCTGTCCAGAGACTCACTGAATGAGGAACATCAGCTGCTGTGTTCATGCACAGGAAACGACAGAATGATGAACCAACAGGGTTTCATATTGTGTGTGTGTGTGTGTGTGTGTGTGTGCAGGTGCCGTGTTCTAATGGATCATTGCTGCATGTCTGGTGCACACGAATCCTGCTGGAGCCAAACACACACATGCAGCAGAGAGTGGTGAGTACACACACACACACACACACACACACATGGGTTAGTCTCCTGCACTCGAGTGTATTGACTGCACGTGTGTGTTCAGGTTGTGTTCAGTCCGCTCTTCATGATGTGGAGTCACCTGCCGGACCCGGTTCTGGTTCATGTGGAGAAGAGGAGTCTGGGTCACAGAGACACACAGCTCATTCAGGGCCGCGGCCACCAGGAGGCGCTGCTGAACGCGGAGGCCGATCTGACACACCACCTCACCTTCCAGGCCAGGTACACACACACACACTCTCACTCACTCACTAACACACACACACACACACACACACACACACACACATAGACAAACACACACAACACACACACACACTCACTCACACACACACACACACACACATAGACAAACACACACAACACACACACACACACACACACAAACACTCTCACTCACTCACTAACACACACACACTCACTCTCTCACACACACACACACACACACACACACACACACACACATAGACAAACACACACAACACACACACACACACACACACACATAGACAAACACACACACACACACACACATAGACAAACACACACAACACACACACACACACATACATAGACAAACACACACAACACACACAAGACACACTCACTCTCACACACACACACACACATAGACAAACACACACAACACACACACACAAACACACTCTCACTCACTCACTAACACACACACACTCACAGGACAACAAGACTGATGATTCGGTCAAACTCTCATCCTGTAAAGACACAGGAATCTCTCAATCATTGTGTGTGTGTGTGTGTGTGTCTGCGGTCAGACACAGACAGACAGTCATAGCCACACACACTCTCTCATGTTCGCTGGGTGAACTGCAGACAGGAGCTTGTAAAGTTCTGTGTGTGTTTGAAACTCACACACTGTTCTAGCTGTTCCGTTTGAGCCATTACCCATAATGCACTGATTGTATGTTTGTGTTCCAGGGAGGAAGAGGACGCGTCTCACTGTGCAGTTCCTGTGTCCACTGCTGTTATCAAACAGATCCTGAGCAGAGCAGCACCAGACCAGAACCAGAACCAGCAGGATGTTCTAGAGCACTTCTATGGAGAGAAGACATCCAGCGACCCGGCCTGGCCCTACAGCAGCCGACAGACAGACAGGTGCGCACACACACACACACACACACACACACACTCATAGTGCATCCGGAAAGTATTCACAGCCAGGGTTCTAAATTAACACCCGCCAACCCGCCAAATGCGGGTTAAAATTCATTTTGGCGGGTGTTAATAAAAACTTACTAGCCAGTTTGGCCGGTGATGCATAAGGCTCCGTTCTCGGTCATTTATCCCCCTGGCAGTACTTCCTACATTTCCCATGAACACTGTGCCGTAATGCTACGTGATGACGTTTCATACGCCCATTGGCTGCGCGTAGAACCAGCGCGAGAAATGATCATTGAAATTGGAAACGAACGGAGCGTACGCGTCCGTCCGTCCACCAGAAAACACGAAGAACGAGCCAGAGCAGGGAGCATAGACTGAAAGAGGAGGGAGCTAGTAAAGTAGCTAAAGTAAAAAGTTAAGATTAAACTAAATGCGGCGGTGGTTGGGACAGACTTCTGGGTTTAAACTTAACTGTCGTTTAACTAGAGATACGTTATTTTTTTAAGTTTAAGATTTTTGTCATTATTTCTGAACAAGCTTATACATTAGGCAATATACACAACAAGCTTACTACCGGGCATATATCTTAAGGTTCTCTTTTAGTTGAAAACATTAAACAACAAAAAAATATTAACAACAAAAGCATTTAAGCAGCGCAAATGGGGAAAAACGCAAAAGAAAATAAGAAAAACAGACTGCGCAGTTATCGTACAGAACGTAGCTACATACTCGAGTCAGCATATGATTATCGTGTTATATTGTTTCACGTTCATGTTGAGAAAAACAATAATATCCACATGCTCGAGTGAGAAAACGCGTTGCGCTGACACAGACGTTGCAGAGACACAGTGAAGTAACAGCATGCGTTTTTCTTTTCCCTGTCTCCCTCAATGAAACTTAAAGGAAGCATCAAAATCATTTTACTACCAGAAGATATCGGGGTACAGCTGCTGACCTGCAGTCGTTAATGCAGTGATGGACAGCTGCTTCCTCAGTCGACTGCTGTTTCTTTGGATTTCATGTGATTTCTCATTGTGGTGGTGATATTATGATAACTCAGTTTAATTAATAATTGATTAAACGTAATTCCATTTTGTAATAGGCTATCATTTTCATCTAAGTAATTCCAAACTTCGCGAGGCAGACAACGACATTATGTGATCAAATACAATCCACTTGTTAAACGCTCCACCCAGTGCATTTAATTATAACTGCGAAAAAAAAAATTAATAGTATTTTATTTTTTGAATAATAATTACAAATCGAAAATTTGAATATTCGTGCACATCCCTAATAGATAGATAAAAAGATCCCAAACTTGATATGAAATGTTTGCACTTTCTGTGTTGTATTGTACTTTATATGTGTTTTTCATGCCAACAAAATGATCAAATGCATTCAGTGGCACTCATAATTTCTCTTATTTTCACCGGAAAAAAATTGGCTAGTGGAAATTTTAAATGGCTGGTAACTTTAAAAAGTTACCAGCCACGTTGGCTGGTGATCAAAAAAGTTAATTTAGAACCCTGTTCACAGCACTTCACTTTTTCCACATTTTGTTATGTTACAGCCTTATTCCAAAATTGATTAGATTCATTATTTTCCTCAAAATTCTACAAACAATACCCCATAATGACAAGGTGAAAGAAGTTTGTTTGAAATATTTGCAAATTTATTAAAAATAAAAAACGAAACAATCACATGTACATAAGTATTCATACCCTTTGCCATGACACACTAAATTGAGCTCAGGTGCATCCCGTTTCCACTGATCAACTGTTTCTACGACTGGATTGGTTAAATTCAGTTGATTGGACATGATTTGGAAAACACACAGCTGTCTATATAAGGTCCCGCTGTTAACAGTGCATGTCAGAGCACAAACCAAGCCATGAAGTCCAAGGCATTGTCTGAGGACCCCCGAGACAGGAGGGTCGAGGCACAGATCTGGGGAAGGGTGCAGAAACATCTCTGCAGCATTGAAGGTCCCCATGAGCACAGTGGCCTCCATCATCCATAACCGGAAGAAGTGTGGAACCACCAGGACTCTTCCTAGAGCTGAGCAATTGCGGGAGAAGGGCCTCAGTCAGGGAGGAAACCCAGAACCCGATGGGCACTCTGGCAGAGCCCCAGTGTTTCTCTGTGGAGAGAAGAGAACCTTCCAGAAGAACCACCATCTCTGCAGCTCTCCACCAATCAGGCCTGAGAACCTTCCAGAAGAACAACGAGAGAAAGATCAGGAACCGGGAGACTCGTCAGGATCGAGGGAAAGATGCGGAACTGGGAGACTCGTCAGGATCCAGGGAAAGATGAGGAACTGGGAGACTCGTCAGGATCGAGGGAAAGATGAGGAACTGGGAGACTCGTCAGGATCGAGGGAAAGATGAGGAACTGGGAGACTCGTCAGGATCGAGGGAAAGATTTGGAACTGGGAGACTCGTCAGGATCGAGGGAAAGATGCGGAACTGGGAGACTCGTCAGGATCGAGGGAAAGATGCGGAACTGGGAGACTCGTCAGGATCGAGGGAAAGATGCGGAACTGGGAGACTCGTCAGGATCGAGGGAAAGATGCGGAACTGGGAGACTCGTCAGGATCGAGGGAAAGATGCGGAACTGGGAGACTCGTCAGGATCGAGGGAAAGATGCGGAACTGGGAGACTCGTCAGGATCGAGGGAAAGATGAGGAACTGGGAGACTCGTCAGGATCGAGGCAAAGATGAGAAACCGGGAGACTCGTCAGGGTCGAGGGAAAGATGAGGAACCGGGAGACTCGTCAGGGTCGAGGGAAAGATGAGAAACCGGGAGACTCGTCAGGGTCGAGGGAAAGATGCGGAACTGGGAGACTCGTCAGGATCCAGGGAAAGATGAGGAAATGGGAGACTCGTCAGGATCGAGGGAAAGATGAGGAACTGGGAGACTCGTCAGGATCGAGGGAAAGATGCGGAACCGGGAGACTCGTCAGGATCGAGGGAAAGATGAGGAACCGGGAGACTCGTCAGGGTCGAGGGAAAGATGAGGAACCGGGAGATTTGTCAGGATCGAGGGAAAGATGAGGAACCGGGAGACTCGTCAGGGTCGAGGGAAAGATGAGGAACCGGGAGACTCGTCAGGGTCGAGGGAAAGATGAGAAACCGGGAGACTCGTCAGGGTCGAGGGAAAGATGAGGAACCGGGAGACTCGTCAGGGTCGAGGGAAAGATGAGAAACCGGGAGACTCGTCAGGGTCGAGGGAAAGATGAGAAACCGGGAGACTCGTCAGGGTCGAGGGAAAGATGCGGAACCAGGAGACTCGTCAGGATCCAGGGAAAGATGAGGAACTGGGAGACTCGTCAGGATCGAGGGAAAGATGCGGAACCGGGAGACTCTTCAGGATCGAGGGAAAGATGAGGAACCGGGAGACTCGTCAGGATCGAGGGAAAGATGAGGAACCGGGAGACTCGTCAGGGTCGAGGGAAAGATGAGGAACCGGGAGACTCGTCAGGATCGAGGGAAAGATGAGGAACCGGGAGACTCGTCAGGGTCGAGGGAAAGATGAGGAACCGGGAGACTCGTCAGGGTCGAGGGAAAGATGAGGAACCGGGAGACTAGTCAGGATCGAGGGAAAGATGAGGAACCGGGAGACTCGTCAGGGTCGAGGGAAAGATGAGGAACCGGGAGACTCGTCAGGGTCGAGGGAAAGATGAGGAACCGGGAGACTCGTCAGGGTCGAGGGAAAGATGAGGAACCGGGAGACTCGTCAGGGTCGAGGGAAAGGGAAAGATGAGGAACCGGGAGACTCGTCAGGGTCGAGGGAAAGATGAGGAACCGGGAGACTCGTCAGGGTCGAGGGAAAGATGAGGAACCGGGAGACTCGTCAGGGTCGAGGGAAAGATGAGAAACTGGGAGATTCGTCAGGATTGAGGGAAAGATGAGGAACTGGGAGACTCGTCAGGATCGAGGGAAAGATGACCTGTTGGTATTGTTTGTGAAATTTTGAGGAAAATAATGTATTTAATCCATTTTGGAATAAGGCTGTAACATAACAAAATGTGTAAAAAGTGAAGCGCTGTGAACACTTTCCGGATGCACTGTACTCATTCTCACACTCTATCTCACACACACACACACACACTCTCTCACACTCGCACACACACGTTATCAATATAGTTATTGTTTTAGTTATCACTATAGTTATTATTATATACTATCATTGAAGTTATCATTATCGTTATCACTATAGTTAAAACTGTAATATGTTGATATGATGGATGGTGTGTGTGTGCAGGTGTGCGGTGGAGCCGGTGGCGCAGTGGGACAGCCCGATGCAGGTGCGTCTGAGTGTGTGGCGCGCGGGTCTGAACACACTGCTGGTGGAGCTGCTGCCCTGGGCTCTATTGGTGAACCGCTCGCACTGGGACCTGTGGATGTTTGAGGCCGAGAGCATCGTAGTGCAGATTCCAGCCGGGAAAACCATCGTACCGCCCAACTTCAAGGTCTGTCTGTCTGACTGTCTGTCTGTCGACTGACTGTCTGTCTGTCTGTCTATCTGACTGTCTGACTGACTATCTCTCTATCTCTCTGTCTGTCTGTCTGTCTGTCTGTCTGACTGTCTGTCTGACTGTCTGTCTGTCTGACTGACTGACTGTCTGTCTGTCTGTCTGACTGTCTGTCTCTCTGACTGTCTGTCTTGTCTGTCTGTCTGTCTGTCTGACTGACTGACTGTCTGTCTTTCTGTCTGACTGTCTGTCTTGTCTGTCTGTCTATCTGACTGTCTGACTGACTATCTATCTCTCTGTCTGTCCGACTGTCTGTCCGTCTGAATGTCTGTCTATCTGAGTGTCTGACTGACTATCTCTCTGTCTGTCTGTCTGACTGTCTGTCTGTCTGAATGTCTGTCTGACTGACTATCTCTCTGCATTGCAACAATGTTGAGAATCGCCGTGAATGATCGCGTGTGTGTCTGTGACCCGCAGGATGCCTTCCAGATCGGCATCTATTGGCCGCACACTAACACGGTGCACAAGTCTCCTGCCGTGCGATTGGTCCACGAGGTGTCGTCGCCACGGTGGCCAGAAGGGGGCGGAGCCGAGGTCCTGCTGCTGGATGAGGAGGGATACATACACACGGACATCACACTCGGCACACAGCCCGGAAAACTCAAGGTGTGTGTGTGCTAGGTTGTATAATCATCACGGTTATCTGTGTCTGCATTAGGGCTGCACGATTAATCGCAATTAACATGAAATCACGCTTATACCCTTTTTTGTTTTATTATTATAACATTGCAAAGGGTCAGATTTTTTTTTTATTTATGCGCAGCTTGTCATTGATGTACGGCTCTGTAAACGCTGCTCCATCTGAAAGCACTGCGAGTTTGAGTCGATTATAACGTGCATTTGAAAAAGCAACACACGCCAAACATCTTTCCAAACATGAGAAGCATTTATATATATATATTTACTTTTTCTTTTACAGAGCTGTACTTCACTGACAAGCTGCGCATTAAATAATCGCGGCCTTTGCCAAATCGTGTGCGGTTTCATTTCGATTAATCGTGCTGCCCTAGTCTGCATGGACAAGTTTAATCTGGAATAAATAACTAGTCTCTCTCTCTCTCTCTCTCTCTCTCTCTCTCTCTCTCCCTCTCCCTCTCCCTCTCTCTCTCTCTCTCTCTCTCTCTCCCTCTCTCTCTCTCTCTCTCCCTCCCTCTCTCCCTCCCTCTCCCCCTCTCTTTCTCTCTCTCTTTCTCTCTCTCTCTCTCTCTCCCTCTCTCTCTCTCTCCCTCTCCCTCTCCCTCTCCCTCTCTCTCTCTCTCTCTTTCTCTCTCTCTCCCTCTCCCTCTCTCTCTCTCTCTCTCTCTCTCTCTCTCACTTCCGGTGTGACTGTTGAGCGAGGGTGCGTGAGCGTGGTGCAGAGCGGTGTGAGTGGAAGTTTTTTTTCTCTTTTTCTGCTTATCTGTTTTGTTATTTTTGTTGTCTGTTTTGTTATTTGTTTAGTTATTTGGAGGGTCGGGTGCTGTCCGTCAGTCGGAGGCATGGCGGCCCTACAAACACAGGGGTTGAATACACTCACGAGACGCCACGCAATTAAGGTAGCATCAGCTGTGAGCATTGAGGCATGTTGTTTGGCCGTTGGAGAGTTAGTTGGACATTCTAGCGTCTTGTCCGCGTCTAGAATGAACAATGCGACAGTAGTTTTCTTAGATAGTGTAGACAAGGCAAATGAGTTGGTTGAGCAGGGAATTGTCATCGATGGGGAGTTCATTTCAGTTCTACCACTTTCTATGCCAGCAAAAAAGGTAATCATTTCTAACATACCACCTTTTGTTAGTGATGTAATTCTAACTCAAGCGCTGTCGCGCTATGGTAAATTGGTGTCACCGATAAAAAAGATCCCAATCAGTAGCGAATCGCCGTTATTGAAACATATCGTTTCTTTTAGGCGCTTCGTGTACATGATTATTCCGGATGACGCCGATTTAGATTTAACTTTAAATTTTCGTATTGAGGATTTTAGTTATTCGATTTTTGTCACGACTGGTAAAGTCAAATGCTTCGGATGTGGCAATAAAGGGCATTTAATTCGGAATTGCCCAACCAAAAATGTTGAGGGAGGAAACCGTAATGAAGTAGTTGTACAGGGTAAGGAAAATGATGGAAAAGAAGTTAATGTGGATGTTCAAGAAGAAGGTTCGGTAGTGGTGGAGAATGTGGTAGATCGTTCAGTAGAAACTGAAGCTGAAGTTGCTGAAGTAGCTTCATCTCAGATTGAACAAGCAGATCCAATTCCTAAGATTTTACCTACAAGCAGTGTTTTAAGTGTTTCTGATAGGGTGGTTGATCCTTCAGAAAGCAAAAAAGGTGCAAATGGTGAGTTTCAAATCAGTGTAATGGCTGAAGAAGCACAGTTGACACCAGAACAAGAGCAGTTTTCTTTTAAGACACCGCAAAAAAGAAAGATGAAAAATAAAATGCTAGATGCAAAAATCAGTAAGACAGCTGAATTACGAGATGAGGATATTCAAGAGACGGAAAGTGACAGTGATTCTTCTGAGTGCAGTGAGGTTCTTTCTCAAAGTGAATTTAATGTACGTAGTTATGATCTTGAGGACATTAAGTTGTTTCTCAGGTCAACAAAGAATAAAAGAGGTGTAAAGGTGCAAGAATATTTTCCTGATTTGAAACAATTTGTGGATCGGGCAAAGAGTTTGTTGGCTAGTGATTCATTTACCAATAAGGAAGTGTATAGGTTGAAGAAAATAGCGAGGAACATAAATATCGCTCAAAACGATGTTGTATAAGTGGAAGAAAAGGAATATTTTTTCCTGTTGGTATGGCGTATTGTGTTCTTTCTCTTTCTTTGTTTTCTTTATGAATGAAATTCATATTGCATCTATGAATGTTAATGGGGCAAACAATTTAAAGAAAAGAGCACACATTTTTGAGGAAATTGAGCAGAAAAATATAGACATAATTTTTTTACAGGAAACTCATAGTTGTGTGGAGAATGAGGTTGACTGGATGAAGGAATTTAGTGGATTATCCGTGCTAAGTCATAACTCAAATATAAGTGGTGGGGTGGCTGTCTTATTTAATAAAAAGTTTAAACCAACTTCGTATGATGCAGTTGAAGTTGTGAAAGGCAGACTGTTAAAAGTTAGAGCTTCTTATGAAAATGTGGTGTTTGTTTTTATTTGTGTTTATATTCCAACGGCACCTATAGAAAGATTACTTTTTTTGGATACTCTTTGTGCAACACTAGAAGATTGCGGTTCTGCAGATTTTCTTTTATTGGGCGGTGATTTTAATTGTACTGAGTTGGATATGGATAGGAATCATGTTGAACCTCATATGGCTTCACGTAAGCGGTTAATTCATCTAATTGAGAAATATGATTTATGTGACATTTGGAGAAGGATAAATGGTAATGAAAAACAATACACATGGGCCCACATGCGTGATAATTATATATCACTGGCAAGATTAGATAGATTTTATGTATTTAAACATCATTTAAATTTATTTAACAAATGTTTTATCACGCCTTTGTCTTTTACTGATCATAGTATGGTAAGTTGTAGTTTTATTTCAAATTTAGTGAAATCCAAAAGTGCTTATTGGCATTTTAATACGAGTCTTTTAAATGATAAATTATTTATTGAATCGTTTAAATTTTGGGGGGAATCTTTTAAAGAAACAAAAACGTCTTTTAAATCCTTACATACAAAAGTTGTATCAATCCTCAGGTGATAGTAATATTTTGGAAACTTGTTTTAGGAAAAAAGCTGAACTTAAAGAGCTGTTAGAGTTTAAGGCACAAGGTGCTTTAGTTCGTGCTTGTTTTTTGGGTGTTGATCAAATGGATGCACCTTCCAAGTATTTCTTTGGTCATGAGAAAAAAAATGGGCAGAATCGTTTAATTCATGCCCTACGTTCTGAGGATGGCAATTTGTTATATAATCCCAGACAGATTCGTGATGTAGCGATGAGTTTTTATCAATCTCTGTACAAAAGTGAACTTAAGCCGGAAAACAAAGAAAAATCTCCTTTTCTAGAGGATTTAACAAAGATCTCAGAGGAGTCCAGTGAAGAGCTGGAATGTAGCCTAACCCTGGGAGAGCTGTATAAGGCACTCCATGAGATGGAGTCTGGGAAAGCTCCAGGTATAGATGGGCTTCCAGTGGACTTCCTGAAGGCGTTCTGGTCGGAGTTAGGAGTTGACCTGCTAGAGGTATTCAACGACAGCTTGCTGAAGGGTGGGCTGCCGTTGAGTTGCCGAAGGGCAGTAGTTACTCTCCTTCCGAAAAAGGGGGATCTGTTGGAGATCAAGAACTGGAGGCCGGTATCACTTTTGTGCACTGACTATAAATTACTTTCTAAAACTTTGGCTAAGAGAATGACTAAGGTAATGGGACAGGTGATCCATTCAGATCAATCATACTGTATACCTGGTAGGTCAATATTTGACAATATTTCTTTAATTAGAGATGTTATACAAGTTTCCAAATTATTTAATATCGATTGTGGTTTGTTGTCTCTTGACCAAGAAAAAGCTTTTGATCGGGTTGAGCATGAGTTTTTATGGAATATTTTAGAAGCTTTTGGTTTTAATGAGAATTTTCTAAACATGATTAAAATTCTTTATAGTGACATAGAGAGTATAATTAAGATTAATGGTGGCTTATGTGCTCCATTCAAGGTCAAAAGAGGTATTAGACAAGGTTGTTCGCTCTCTGGAATGTTGTATTCTCTTGTCATTGAACCCCTTTTACAAAAAATCAGGAAGAATTTAGATGGTTTCAAGATACCTTTATGTGAATTTGATTTTTGTTTGTCAGCTTATGCTGATGATCTCATAATAGTAATTAACAAACAAAGTGATATACATGTTTTATCTGGACTGATAGAGGAAATTGGAAAATGGTCATCAGCTAAAGTCAATTGGAAAAAAAGTGAAGCGTTTTTATTAGGAGATTGGAAGGAAGGGAAACCAAGTCTTCCTGAAGGTTTGTGCTGGAATAGGTGGGGGTTGAAATATTTAGGAGTTTTTTTGGGAGATGATAATTTGTTAGAAAAGAATTGGGATGGTGTTTTACAGAAAGTTAAAGGACGTTTAGATAATTGGAAGTGGCTTCTACCCAATATGTCCTATAGGGGTAGAGTGCTTATTGTAAATAATTTGGTTGCCTCTTTTTTATGGCACAGATTGGTTTGTATTGATCCTCCTGTGAAACTAATAGCCGAAATTCAAGCGGCTTTTGTTGATTTCTTTTGGGACAAACTTCACTGGATTCCACAGAGTATTCTATTTCTACCTAAGGAAGATGGAGGCCAGGGGTTGGTCCACTTACAGAGCAGGATTGCAGCTTTCCGACTGCATTTTTTACAAAGACTTCTTGATGGACCGATGAATGTGAGTTGGAGGGCAGTCAGCTGTGCCCTA